TTATTTTCCATTTCTTGGATGCTGAATTTTTCGTCGAGAGGTCTTCAGAAAACCGTCTATAACTCTGAGACTAAAAGTCCGGAGAAGATGAAAATTTGGATTTATAGGTTTCCACATATGCTGAATATGATGAGACTACTTTGAAAAGAATCTGAGACATTCATTGAGCATGACTTGTTGTGGTTCTCGTTTAATGGCTCCTAGGTGAAGATTGATGCTAAGTTGAAAACTCTTTTTTGTGTAAAACTAACAATACCGCGATGTTTAGACAGTCGATTACCTACATTTCAACCTTTTCGGGGTCTTTAAACTGCAAAAACTAAGGATACCGCTTGTCCAGAAAAACTTAGTAAAGCGATTCAGTATTTTTGATTGATTGTTTACGTAATACTGTTGGGCTTTGTGGTAGTCATGCCTTTCCACAAAATTGTGTATAAAATTGAGTTATCTTCATTTGTGCTTAATTCTTAGAATGCAAACGTTTGTTCTTCGCCTTCCATTTCGATTAACTTCTTTAGAATAAGCAAACTGCTAAAGTGTCTAAAATTACTACCAATATGACATCAGTGTTCATATCACGTATATTTTCTTGATAATCTCAGTATGTACTGGCTGATACAGCTCTTTACCATTGTCAGTTACCTCTTCTCATACTGCGGTGCCAGCAGATCCAATAATCTCAAACATATAAAGCCGTCGGTTAAAACAAATGATAACCTCGTCATACCCTTATTAACTTATCTTTCTCTGTCAATAATACAAAGTATACACAAATCCTACAAGAATTTTGTGTTAAATTCCCATTTCTTTTTAGAGAGACAAGAACCTTTATTCGGTTTCTGAGAAATTTCGGCAGTATCCTGTATCATATAAGTTACGAATGACAACCAAATTTTACGTACTTGAGAAAGACCCAGTCTGACAAACAATGTCTTTCTCAACGCCCAAATATCAGCATACTCATGGTGAACCCTTTGTTCTCATTTACATGCCAAACAATGCATCACACGATCATCTCAATATTCCGAAATGGGTTAAAAAGGCCGAAATCCAAAATGTTCAACAGTGGCACTCATACCAATATAGTGAAAGTGCAGAACTGAAGTATTTTTTCCTTATAATCATCGGTAAGGTACCCGATACAATAATGCATATGTTCCAAAACGATTCGAAGGTTCACTACATCTACACATTGCATGATACTGCAGGTTTCCCGCAGAATCAGTCAACCACTGAATTTTTTCCGAAAGTACAAGACACTTACTATTCGATCGGCGAGTTGTGTATGGAATTGTTGAGTGATTTAGCCTCTTATTATCGATCAGAGGCACAGCAAAGTCGTGTACCAAAACATTTCTCTTTAGTAAATCAATACTACTGCCAAGCAAAATCATTAATAACTCATCTTGAAATGCTTATCAATCAAGCAGCGTTAGACGTCGAAGACAGTGTGGGAGTAGAAGCATCACACTGACGTAAGAAACCGTCAGTGTGAATGTCTTTCTCAGCTTTATCTCATTTGCAACAGAATTTGTATACTTGTAAACAAGAAGTTTCTCTTTAACTGAACGTTTTACACAAAAACTCACCTTCTCTTTTTCCACGTACGTATTATTATCATATTATTTATTCATCTATTTATTTGTTCCACTATTTTGTGTCTTTCTTATTTGTTATTCATTTTACATAATTTTTTTTGTGTGTTTACGTGGCATAATGATTATAGATCAGAACCAATACTAACATATAATAACTTGTGGAGTTGTTAGTGTTAAAGTTCTGTAACTAATTTGAAATAAAATAGCTTAAACTAAGTTTCTCTTTTTCAGATTTTTGCTTGTTATATCTGTTATCATACATTTGGTTTTTTCTCAATAATGTAATCTCGCTATTTTATATATGCACAGTAATCTTGATGCCTAACAGCAACCTTTACTTTGGACCAGAATAGGAGTCGATAAACCAACGCAGACAGTTCGATTTATGAAACATGATCTAAGGGGAAAGAGTGAATAAAACCAATTATCTAACATGTTTTACGATGCTTAAGACTCTCTGTTATAGACTGCTAATCTCCTGTATGTTCCAAGAACACCCAGTTCATCAAACAGAGCTGCTCCATGCATTTTAATTATACTTCTGAATTTTTTACATGAAAGTTCGAACAAGTGTTATACAGTAGTCTTCCTGCTCGGTTACGAGGAATAACGGAAACTGTACTACAAACCATTGTTCTCGTTACTGCAAAAACCTTTCAGCAAGAATGTTTTTACATGCTGAAGTTTTTCCAGTGCTAGTGTATTGAGATTCAACCGCTGATATCGCATTGCTTCCTTGGCGCTATCAACTGTAATATCGTGAACAAGCTGTGAAGATTGAAGTTCTGTTATTTGAAATACATCCCGTAATTTTCGAAACCGATGTAGACTACCATCGTACAAATTTAGATCGTCACAAAATACGTAAAAATATTTAATATAACGAAGTACATGAAATTCGTCTATTAGCTCGGCGGCAGTATCATAGGGTATAACTATAAATAACTTATTGTTAGAGCTTGTTAATACATAATGGTGGAATAGATCGATGTCATTGAATAACTTCATAGATTTATTGAAACCAAGTGATAAATCGGTTGTTAAAATTTGACGTTTTGGATCGTAGATGGTAATCATCAGATGTGGCGGAGCTGTCATTGAACAATGTGACAGCGTTATCTGAAATGAGAGCTGTCACACAGATTAAAACTAGCAGATACCAAAAAGGTAGAAAACGAGAATCAAGCTGCTTTACTGTCACTAAACCAGATAAGGCTTTGCATGCGATGCTAAGAACATGTTTTCTAACACTTGAGTTAGACAGCCGTCAATAAGCAATGAACAATTTCTTTATTTTTTTTGCGAAAAAATAAAAGAATTCAAAAAAAAAATTAAGATGTTCATCGGTTATTTAAATAAACAACCAAATTACATATAGCTGCATCAATTATTACATCCAGGATACTTAATACGCTTTTTTATAAATTTCTGTTTCTGGAATATCAGTAACACCAAAAACTCCCTCTAAATGACAAAGATAAATGAATGTGTATTATGCATAAAGTATATGTGTTTTGTTAGTAGTTTTCAATGATTGGATTTGCGCGTACACATTTAGTTTCTCCCATAATGATGTTAGATAAGTGTTTTATCGCTCTACATGAAAGTGATTCGTGATTGTAAGGTGCCGCCGCACAGTGATACCAGTGGCTTCTTCGTAGATAGTCATGTAAAGAAAAGTTTGAATCAGAGCAGTAAATTTATGTTTACTTTATTCCACGCAGTTCAAAGTGCCTTTAGTTTTCATTATATCTGATTTACTCTCTAATTACTTACTAACGTGGCCTCTGTATAGCAAATTGATTTACTTTGTTTTCATGCAAAACTGGTTTTTTTCACTGTGCAGAAAAATGTAGACAGACGGTTGCAGCTCTAATTTGAACGTAACTTTAGCACCACTGTTCTGTGCTTATTTACAATCTTCGTCCGAACCCGTTCGACAGCGATCCGGTAGAAGACACATTCGCTCACATTGTGCTTTAGTTAATCTATTTTCTCACTGGTTACTTCCTTCAAAAGCTTCAATTTCATTCATTTTGCCTCTAGTCCAGATCAGGCATGCAACCATTCCAAGCTAGAGCTCGCTGATCGCCAGCGAACATGTTCAGTAGCGCACCGTTCGGTGACCGAACATGTTCGCTTACCAAGATGTTCGGTTGCGAACGGTTTGGTGATCGAACATGTTCGGTTGCGAACCGTTCGGTCACCAAACTATCGCTTTGGTGCATAAGTACATCCACGATACTTATTACGCTTTTTATAAAGTTCTGTTTCTGGAATATCAGTAATACCAAAAACTCCCTCTAAATGACAAAGATAAATGAATGTGTATTATGCATAAAGTATATGTGTTTTGTTAGTAGTTTTCAATGATTGGATTTGCGCGTACACATTTAGTTAAGCCAGCATGTTCAGTCACCAAACCGTTCGTAAGCGAGCATGTCCGGTTACCAAACCGTTCGTAAGCGAGCATGTTCGGTCACCAAACCGTTCGTAAGCGAGCATGTTCAGTCACCAAACGGTTCGTAAGCAAGCATGTTGGGTCACCAAACCGTTCGTATGCGAACATGTTCGGTCACCAAACCGTTCGTATGCGAACATGTTCGGTCACCAAACCGTTCGTAAGCGAACATGTTCGGTCGCCGAACGGTTCGCTACTGAACACGTTCGCTGCCGATCAGTCAGCTCTAGCTTGGGATAGTTGCATGCCTGATCTCCACTAAAGGAAACTGAATGAAATTGAAGCTTTTGAAGGAACTAACCAGTGAGAAAATAGATTAACTAAACCGCAATGCGAGCGAACATGTCTTCTAATGAATCGCTACCAAAGGTTTAATAAAAATGGTTTGTCAAAGCTAAGAACATGAGAACGAACAAACACATGAAAGAAATCTTTGTAAACAGAAAAAATGGTGAAGATTACACCAAACGGAGGAGGAGCCTTGAATACGCCATAACCGTAGATAGTCATGTAAAGAAAAGTTTGAATCAGAGCAGTAAATTTATGTTTACTTTATTCCACGCAGTTCAAAGTGCCTTTAGTTTTCATTATATCTGATTTACTCTCTAATTACTTACTAACGTGGAGTCCATAGAGCAGATTGATTTTCGCTGTACATGAAAGTGAGGAAAAAAACAATATTCAAAAAAGAAATTAAGATGTTCATCGGTTATTAACAACGGAATTACATATAGCTGCATGAATTATTACATACCCGATACTTATTACCCCTTTTTATAAATTTCTGTTTCTGGAATATCAGCAATACCGAAAACTAAGATAAATAAATCGTATAATGAAGAAAGGATATGTGTTTTGTTAGTAGTTTTCAACGACTGGATTTGCGCGTACACATTTAGTTATGCGCACATGTTCGGTCACCAAACAGTTCGTATGCGAACATGTTCGGTCACCAAACCGGTCGTAAGCGAACATGTTCGGTCACGAAACCGTTCGTAAGCGACCATCTTTAGTCACCAAACCCTTAGTAAGCGAACATTTTCGGTCACAAAACCGTTCGTAAGCGAACATCTTTAGTCACCAAACCCTTCGTCAGCGAGCATGTTCGGCCACCAAACGTTTCGTAAGCAAACATGTTCGGTCACCAAACCGTTCTTAAGCGAGCATGCTTAGTCACCAAACCGTCCGTAAGCGAGCATGTTCGGCCACCGAACGGTTCGTAAGCGAACATGTTCGGTCACAAAACCCTTCGCAAGCGAACATCTTTAGTCACCAAACCCTTCGTCAGCGACCATGTTCGGTCACCAAACCGTTCTTAAGCGAGCATGCTTAGGCACGAAACAGTCCGTAAGCGAGCATGTTTGGCCACCAAACGGTTCGTAAGCGAACATGTTCGGTCACAGAACCGTTCTTAAGCGAACATCTTTAGTCACCAAACCCCTCGTCAGCGATCATGTTCGGTCACCAAACGGTTCTTAAGCGAGCATGCTTAGTCACCAAACCGTCCGTAAGCGAGCATGTTTAGTCACCAAACCGTCCGTAAGCGAGCATGTTTAGTCACCAAACCGTCCGTAAGCGAGCATGTTTAGTCACCAAACCGTTCGTAAGCGAACATGTTCGGTCACCGAACGGTTCGCTACTGAATATGTTCGCTGCCGATCAGCGAGCTCTGGCTTGAGATAGTTCATGCCCCATCTGGACTAAAGGCAAATTGAATGAAATTGAACCTTTTGAGGGAACTAACCAGTGAGAAAATAGATTAACTTAAGCGCAATGCGAGCGAATGTGTCCTCTGCTGAGCCGCTACCACAGGTTTAATAAAAATGGTTTGTCAAAGCTAAGAACATCAAATCTTTGTAAAGGGAAAAAATGGTGAAGATTACACCAAACGGAGGAGGAGCCTTGAATACGCCATAACCGTAGATAGTCATGTAAAGAAAAGTTTGAATCAGAGCAGCAAATTTATGTTTACTTTATTCCACGCAGTTCAAAGTGCCTTTAGTTTTCATTATATCTGATTTACTCTCTAATTACTAAAGTTTAGTCAGCAAATGGTTCGTAAGCGAACATGTTCCGTCACAAAACCGTCCGTAAGCGAGCATGTTCGGCCACCAAACCGTTCTTAAGCGAACATGTTCGATTACTAAACCGTTCGTACGCGAACATGTTCGGTCACCAAACCGTCCGTAAGCGAGCATGTTCGGCCACTAAACCGTTCGTAAGCGAACATGTTCGGTCCCCAAACCGTTCGTAAGCTAATGACTCACGAACGTGGCCTCGGTATAGCAGATTGATTTTCGCTGTACATGAAAGTGCGTAAAAAAACAAAGTATTCAAAAAAGAAATTAAGATGTTCATCGCTTATTAACAACGAAATTACATATAGCTGCATCAATTATGTTCGCTGCCGATCAGCGAGCTCTGGCTTTTTCGATGGCGAACGGTTTGGTGACCGAACATGTTGGGTTGCGAACCGTTCGGGCACCGAACTATCGGTTTGGTGCATATGTACATCCAGGATACTTATTGCGCTTTTTTACGAATTTACCAAAAACTCCCTCTAAATGACAAAGATAAATCAATGTGTATTATGCATAAAGTAGATAAAGTGATAAGTTATATAAGTGTTTTATCCAAGGGGGAAAAAGCATACTTCTGTACTTCTGGTACTTCTTCGTACTTCTTGATACTTCTTCGTACTTCTTCGTACTTTTTTGTACTTCTCCGTACTTCTGAAGTATGAAGTACGAAATACGAAATCCCGTATTTCGTACTTCGTACTTCAGAAGTACGGAGAAGTACAAAAAAGTACGAAGAAGTACGAAGAAGTATCAAGAAGTACG